AGTGGATATGTGGTTTCTTTTCGATAAAGCAGTTTTGGCGAAATCATCAAAATAGAGTAAAGCATCCATAGTGCCTTGCCCTGCCTTAAATGCCACCTGGTTTTGACTGAGAAGGTTTTTATTTAATGCGAACCACGAGATACGTTTTGATATGATTTTTTCTAATAGTTTACCCATGCAACAAAGGAGTGATATTGGCCTGTAACCAAGAACATCTGTAGACACTACATTAGATTTAGGAATTGCTACAATAACTGAATTTTTCCAGCCTTGAGGGTAGACACATTGGCATAAAATATTGTTGTACAATTTAATAATTCTGTTTTTGCGACTTAAAGGACAGTTTTTTAGCATGGGATATGAAATCCTGTCTGCACCGGGAGTCTTTCCTGATATTGAAGATAAAGTGAAATCGAATTCTGTGATGGTTATGTTTGATTCGGTAATAGATGGGGGTGAGCGATCTTTACTGTACCTTCTTGTGAGCAGTTCATTTTTATTTGATACAAACGAGGGGTGGAAGTTTGAATCTCTCGAATAATCGGACCATACAGAGGCGAAATGATTATCTATTTCTCTTGAGTCGAAAATGGTGCCACTTGGGGTGTTTATACAATTAAGATTCACGTGCGCGGGCCTGAGAGCATTTTTATGTCGGCCCATACTTTCTTGGGATTTGTTAACGGAGTGATAGCTTCGGTAAGTTTTTGTAAGCAAGTCCTCTTAGCTTCTTTAATATTTCTCCGAAACACTGCCTTTTTGTATTTTATTAGATTATCAATAGAGCGAGTTCTTTTGTAAATTAACCATAGTGATTGTTTTTCTTCTCTAAGTTTAGATAACTCCGTAGATCAGTAAGGCACATTATTTTTGAAGATTTTTTTACCCATTTGGGAGATAGATAGGTGAGCAGAAGTTTTGATTATTTTGGTAATCGTAGCTGTTTCTAATATTCTGAATAAATAGGTGGAGTGGGAATATTGATTGGTGAGTTTAAATTTTGTTTACTATCATGGTTTGCTTTTGTTGTTAGCTGATTTTAGTACCTTGTCTGTGGAGAGTGGTAGGGGAGGGGATGATGAGCGGTGGGAAATCACGTTTGTTATTTGCTTATTTGTATTTTTTTTTTAACAGAAGCGAAGGAAGTGTTTGCGGGGGTCGGGGGTAATTGTTGTTTGTATAGCCTTAGTGCTTCTCGCATTGAGCATTTATTTCCTGTTTTTATTTTTAGAATACTTTTGGATTGTAGGTATTTAGGACAAGAGCGTGACGAGGAATGATGATCGCCTGAGCAATTTGCACAAAATATGCGGTTGCATGGCGAGGGGAGATGAGGAGGGAAACTGCACATATCGCAGGCAGGGTTGTTGTTGCAACGTTTTGCTGTGTGACCTAGAAGCTGGCAACTCTTGCACCTCATGGGGTTAGGAAAATATGCTCTAATCCGCATTGTACGCCATGAGACTTCCATTTTTTCTGGAGGTTTGTAGAGGTCACTGAAAGAAGTATCACATCACTAGGTCTTTGTTGGCTTTCAACATTTTTTGTGAATTTATACACAAAAGCAACTCCCTGATCTTTTAAATTGTCAACAACAAGCAAAGCAAACCTTTTTTCTCCGAGATTAGGCGGCCCTGGGGCCATAATAAATCAAATATTCACTACTATGCACTGTTTTTACGGGAGTAACCGTACAATCAAAGTAAAACGAAAACACGTGCACTTATATGCAAAAAGGAATATGCGAATAAAGCGTAAAGCCCAAAAGAAAAACCGCGATTAGAAAACACGTCCGCTCAATGAGAGAGATAGTCGAAGACTGTGCGCCAATAATAAATAAAAGCTGCAAACTTTGCATTTATGCAGCAACGTAATTGAACTTCACCCTAAACTAATATTTACATTATAAATTAATAAAAATCAATATTTTTATTGTTTGTTTATAATAAATATTTTGTTCGCTTAAACAATAAAAAAATCTTTTAAGACTAGCTTTAAAACTAAAATTAAATACTAAATTAAAAATGTATAAATAAGTTCTTAAAGAAACGAAGGAGAGATTGAATCAGAAAAAGATCACAGTAATAAGGTGTCCGTGGATGTGGCTCCGTTAATTTCTTTTATCCCTTTGATAGGGAAGTTAATTCGCATGAGAGAACTGCAACGAGTAATAAATTTTTGTTTATAATTAAGTACAGATCCGTTACTCCGTCTGATTCTGTCAGTTCGGTTCATGTACACGAAGCGCACCGTTTGTCTTCAAATCAGCGATAAAGAGCAATTTTAAATCACTAGCGATCAGCTTATACCTGATTTGTTTATGAACGTTCGCATCAATAGAAAATAACCGAAGTGATGCAAACTCATGCTTCAATGATTGAAATGATCGGCAAAGTTCGGTTTGTATATCATCCCCTAAACACTGATTAACTACTGCACTTCTGTTCTGTTTCAAATACATATGTATGTTTGTATATACATGTATGTATGTATATAAATAAGTTATATCTATAATTCCATCAAGTGCATACATACAACATAAGTTAACTCGAAACGCAAACCACCAAAATACCAAGTCAGCATTGTCTGCCTAACATCCGTTTCAGGCAATGCTGAACATTAACACCACCCCAATCCATGATCAACGGCCCGAGTTATGATCCAACGACAAGCAACAACAAACGATACTCACAAGCTACCGTAGCCGTGGGATCCGCTGGCGCAGCACAAATAGCAACATAGCAACGACAGCGACGACGGCAGCGGCAGTGAGGGCGGCTTAGGCTTAGACTTAAGAGTAAGAATGTTTTAGAGTTTAGTTCTGAACGAGCCACTGAATAAAGCGCACTAGTGCCTAAAAACAATTTGAATATATGTATGTGCGTTCTCGATGGAATTTCCATTGTTTACGCTTCGAAAATTTATAACATGCGAACATTTTCAAAGCTGATACATGGAGGATGGAGTCATGTGTAGAAGATCACGCAAGTGAGGAAAATTCTCTGATCGCCGTTCACTTGGGAGTGGCCGGAAACGATTCTTTTATATATGACTCAAGCAAAACGGGTTTTCCAATCTTCGAAGCACTTCAAAAAATCATATTTTTTTTATCTTCTTCAGCTCCTCCTTCGATGCCGTCTTTATCTCGTCAAGAGAAGCGTAACGTCGTCYTTKCATGGGCCTCTTCAGTTTAGGGAACAAGAAAAAGTCACAGGCTGCGGCATCATTAGTGTGTTGTTTTTGGCCAAAAAGTCACACACAAGCAACGATGTGTAAGCAGGGGCGTTATCGTGGTGCAAAAGCCAATTTTTCTCACATCTTCTCGGCCTTCTGAGAACATTTTGTACCACCGATAAACGTTGCTTCGGTCTCCGTATGCCACAGTCAACATTCGGAATGCATCCACGCACTTAATTTCGTTTTTCACACAAAATTTGATATAGGTTCTTTGATCCATTTTTTTGAGTAGGTAAAAATCGAAGACGATCCAAAACACGTTCAAGCAAAGCAGCTGTCAACAATTAAATGAACATTCAAAATGGCCGAGCTTGTCGGCATAAGTACCTGAGTACCAACATAACGCCACAAAAAATTGGAGGTGGCAAACATTTTAAGAAAGTAGAGAGAAACAGTGAAGTGAAAGAAACAAAAAAAATATATATACTGTCAGGGACAGAGAAATACTTCTTCTTCTTCTTGATTGGCGTAGACACCGCTTACGCGATTATAGCCGAGTTAACAACAGCGCGCCAGTCGTTTCTTCTTTTCGCTACGTGGCGTCA